TATGTAATGAGATATCTTAGCTCTCTTGTCGTAGATCACATCAGTGCAGCAGTATTTATGACATTGAAGCACAACTGGACAGTCAGCTTCTGTTGTTTGTGCAATAAGCAGATATTACCCACATGTCGGTATATGATCATTTACAACAGTAATTTCAAGCATGACGTGTCAACAAAATTGAAGAAAAACGTAAAAAAACAGTGAAAACCTCATGTTTATTCGAGAAAAGCGGGCCCTCACAGCGACACACACTCTATTTTTCTACTACTGCCACTACTGCTACAACTGCTACTACTGCTACAACTGCTACAACTGCTACAACTGCTGCTGCTGCTTCTTCTTCTATGTCTGCCACTGCAGATCTAGCGCGAGTGATGTAGCCAGGATGGGGAACGTCACTTTGCGAGCTTCAGCGCTGCGAACGACAGTGAGTGCCACAATGCCCAGTTGGAATGGCAGGACTGGGCGGATGCGCTCCTCCAACAGGCCGGGCGTCGCATCGCTTCTGCAGATTCCCCTCCTTGCTCAAGCGAAGGACTGGGAGGCTCGGCGTCAGGCCGTGCAGGCGATTGGCCGGCTGCCCAAAGCGCAGGGCGACTCGCGAGCCCTGGAGCCCCCTGCCGTGCAAATCCGAAAGGCATCATCTGGGAGCAGAGTTGCTGCTGGAGAAGCAGATCCGAGAGAATGCTGACACGGAGTGCATCCGAGTGCAATCCAAACCCAAGAAGTCTCCAAGCCTGGGTGCAGAGTGGGACCCAATCTGCATGATCAATTCGCCTCGGCCTCGGCCGAAGCGGTCAGAGGTTCCCACAACAGTCCCCTGCTTTCCCCCCCCGCTCCCATCGGATATCGCCTCCTACAGTGAGGGATTCTGCTGGTGCAGAGTGGGTCTGCCGGGAGCCCCCCCCCCCCCCACACGATTTGGGCGTTTTTTCGAGCCCTTTTGGGCCACAGGTTGCTTCACTGCTGCTTGTGGCGGGCATACGTGTCTCTACCCCGTCAATTAACAAAAGACGCCAACGGACGGAACAGGAATCAATTCTCGAAGTGCGGCTTTGCATCACGGTGCAGGCAAATCAGTTTTTTGCTTCCGGCCCCCGCTTCCTTCTTTCTTTCACATCCCTTTCCTTGTCTTTTGCTTACGGCCACGCCAAGACGGACAAGCTTACATCATTTGCGAATTCGGTGCCAAAGCACGGCAACTCAAAGGTTGTGTCTTATGCAGTAGAGTTTTCTGTACGTCCGACTCTTCAGCTTGCTGTTGTGACTGATCGTACCGGAGCGCTTGAGCTCGAGCAAAGAGCTTTTGTCCAAGTTTGGTAGCGGAGCCCGGCCCTGCGTAAAACCAAGCATCCAGGGGCCGCCGGGGATAGAGCCATCCTGCGCGGCCTGCAGCGGCGCCCTTTTCTTCAGAAGCCATTCCAAGGATTTCTCCCTCAACCTGGTTCGGTGGCTGGCCGTTACAGTTGACCACGAGCATCCTAGTGCGCAGCAGCCAGGGAAAATTCGAAGGCCTTGTGGCAGGAGTTCTCTCCTACAACATCGGCCTCTTGCACTACGAGCACCACGACATCTTAAAGAACACGACTTGGGAGCTTTTGATTTACACGATTCTCCGAGAGACTGAGGAAACGCGCGAGGTTTGCAACAGACGCGGTGCTGCTGAAAGCCTGGTCAAGGACGAGAACGGGGACCTGGACAACGAGCACTTCCATGACTACGCCCTCGAAGCTGTGGAAGCAGGAGGGGGCTTGTCAGATGGAGCCCGAACATGCCAGACTACCCGCTTAGGCTATTCTTCGAGCGTCTGAAGTTGTGGTACAGGGTCTACGACGATGGAGTAGATGAGCCTGTGAGGCCGCTTGTAGCAGGGAGGCTGCAAGGCAAAGCTCAGCGCCTGAGTTATGCAGCTCAGGTTGGCAAGGCCAGACGGTACCGTGGACGTGGGATCAGATGGTTTGGTCCTGCTGAGCGTGGAGGAAGTTCGGGACCCAGCTGATCCCAACATCATACTCCAACGGGCCATACCGTCCCGAGTGCAGGCGCTGCGCAATGCTTTGAGAGACGTCCTCAGCATGAGCGACCAGGAAATGGTTTCGACGGCGATCCAAGAACTTTTCGCGTTCCGCCGAGGCAAGCTTTCACTGGCCGAATACTTCCGCCTGCTCCTCAGGGGGCCTGGGCTTTCAACAAGTTCATCGATGACGTGAAGCTCCAGATCCAAGGAGACTTGAGGAGGTTTCAAGAAGCCAGAGCTCTCTCGTTGCGTCTGGTGATGCGGAAAGACGACCATGGTGAGAGCTACTGCCAGAACGATGATGCCGAAGATCCTGGAGATGTCAGTGCGACCTGGGACGACACCGGCAATGGGTCGAAGAGCCCGACTTCAGCGACACGGGTGACTGGACCTATGGATATGAGAGTTGGTATGAGATGGTGATGGTTATGACCAGGACTATGACGCCCAGGAGCACCCGGACTACCGTGGCGAGATTGCAGAGGCCCATTGCAGATGAGGTTCGCTCCCACACTCCAGCTTCGGGGTCCGAGAGCTACCCGACCAAGAGCGGCAAAGGTGGCTTGAGCTGTGCTATTCAAGACTCAAGACCTCTGAAGAGCTCATGGCATGCAAGCGGACCGCTGAAGTGTACAAGGTAGATGAGGACACCGACAACATCTCCGAAGAAGAAGGCTACCCAATCTGGGATCAAGTCGAGAAGGCGGACGAGGATGAAGTGAAGCAGTTTGTGGAAACCACGAGTCGTTTGAGAACGCCCGCCGGAACGCCGGGACTTTTTGATACCATCGTGATCGATGCCACATGGATCCGGAAGTCGAACAGATATCCAGACGGGCGACTCAAGATAAAACCGAGGCTGTGCGCCGCTGTTTCGATAGGCAGAAGGACATGCTCAGCGCTCGCAGCACGACGGCCATAGCGGGCTTTCTCAGAGGATCCTTGTCTCCACCGTGGCGATCTAGACAGACAGCGACCTGGAGTCCTGGGATACTTCGGGTGCATTCCTGAAAGGACTCAGTTTCGAGAAGGTTCGAGAGATGCTGATGGCCCGTGGCATCAAGACACCGGTGCGCAGAGTGGCCATCATAGCACCGGCCAATGTTTGGCGGCATCTGGCTAAGTTTGATGCCCGCTTTAATCGGCTCGGCGTGACCAAAGTGACAGACTTCGTGTTGAGATGCATCAAACCGGTCTATGGCTTGAGTGACGCGCCGCTGGCTTTGCAGCTGTGCATGCGTACCCACTTTGGAGCAGAAGGGAACGCCGTCATTAATGGACGAAAACTACTTCTACTGGAGAGACTCCAAGGACGGCTACTCCTCCGGGGTCACCACTCATGTCGATGACTGCGGCGCAGCTGGAAAACGCAAGTGGCTGGACGAGCAGTGTGCTCTGCTGGTGGCTATAAGTTCGGGAAGGTCACGCCGCAGAAGTTGTGGCGTGCTGTACAGCAGGAGGCAAGACGGTATTAAGATGTCACAGGACGACTTGTCTATTGTGGTTGACGGTAACAATGCTGGATCTGGTCGCTGACGTTTGAGCATTGCAGTCACAAATCACCAGGGCGAAAGGGAGCCACTAGCAAGCCCACAATGTCGTCAAATTGGCCAAGGCTGAGCTGAATCTCAGCATTGGTGTTCATTGCCGCTACATGAAACCCCGTTCTGCTTGGCCTGCTTCCATGATTCTTCTACGGCCGGTAATTTCAGGAACTACGCCCAGGAAGACGTGCTTGTCTTGCTGTGTGAAGATAAGCTGAGCAAGCGCAGCCGTGATGATGAACGTGTTCTGGAAGACCACGACACCCGTCTCCTGGGTGGACGATCGCACATCTTGTGGGGCCATGGTGCGAAAGCCAAGCGCATCAGCTACCCGAGGTCTCATGCCGGGACTGGCTGCCATATCTGGCTTGCAGGCCAGCACACTAGTCGCAGTACGGCCAAAGCCGAGCTGATGTATCTTCCGGGCCGAGCTTCCTTGCAGGCTCTCATTGGAGCACGGCATCCCACGACTGCCGGTCGACGCCTACACCGACTGCAGAGATTTTCTTCGAGTTGGCCTGTGGGGACAAGTCATGACAAGTCTGTGGCCCAGGACAAGAACCAGCGGCTGTATGTGCTGGTTTTCCGAGAGGCCAGAATGATGGGCCGAATTCGGTTCATGATCCTATGTCCCACGCAGTCGATGAGGGCGGATGCTCTGACCAAATCTAGGGTCTCCCCTCCGTTAATGAAGCTCTTGACTTGCGGCGATGTCGAGTTTTTCAACGAAGGTGACCAGAAGATGACTTTGAGGTCGCTTCCCAGACTGGCGACAGTGCACGAGAAACACTTTGGCATGACCGACAAACAGCTCATCCGCGAGGTCGCCACTCTGGCCGCTTCTTCGTACTTGGCAACCTGCAAAACAAGGTTCCTTTGGACTACTTTCATGTTGTTTGCGGCTATGTTACCGACTACCTCTGCGAACTCTTTCGGCGGCTTCGAGTTCTACTACCACTTCCAGCATTTCCTCTTACCTCGGCCGATGACTGGACGTGGCTGACAACCATAATCATCGTCGTGATCACAACAGAAAGGTTGCTGTGTCAATCACTGCGACTTTGTTTGAGGCACCTTTTCCGCAGAGAAGTGCAACCACCAGCCGCGTGCATGGATGTGACGACGCTGGACACATTACATGGATGTGGATGAGGCCTGCATCAGCGAAGACACCCCTCCAACTCCTAACATTCCTGTTCCGACGATGCTGGAACTGCAAATGATGGTCGAGGAGATTAGAATTAGAGCTGATGGTGATCGATGTCGCGAACTGGCTGTGAAGTGTGGCTCTGAGGTTTCACACCTCCGTGCGCTTAGCGACTCGACGATAGAGCGGTTGACAGAGCAGCAGCAACTGCAAACACAGCGCACACGGCAAGCAGCCGCACCAGAGTTCTCAGTGACCTTGTAACCGCCAATGTGCTATCACATCAGAACGAATATCGCTGTTAAGTCTACCCGGCCATGCCGAGATTGCGTGGGAACACCTTAATTCGTTTTTTCGTGCCGAGAACGGTGAGTGGGGTAGAGTTTTCTATACATGTCCGACTCCGCAGCTTGCTTTAGTGACTGATCGTACCGGACCGCTTGAGCCCGAGCAAAGAGCTTTCATCCAAGTTATACAGTGTTACAAAGCTTCCCCCGTACATTTCGCAACACTTGAAAATCCGGTCATAACGTCTATGCCCTATTGCATGCTGGAAATGTGCCACCTTTCGTGTGGCATTATTGCTCAGAGCCTTCGCATTAACACAAATACTCACATTTGCACTTTAAAATATAGTCTGAAACAGACGCAATCATTCACTCACGACCTCGCCTGTGTGACCTGCCTCTTGCTTTCCTAAACAATGCACCTGCTTCAACTACAGCCGGGCCGAGGCGGAAGACGCGAAGAGTTAAAAATATTTTAATTGCATTTCCGGTGAGACCGTGCCTCGCGGTTTTCTTAGTAGTGCATCGGGGCCAGGGGCGTTCTTCCGGTCGTTGCGTCCCACCGGGCCGTGCATGCATGCAGCATGCACCCACCTGCCTACCCACCCACCCACCCATCCACCCGCGTGCCGCCCGCCCAACCATGCACTTCCACCAGCTCACGCCCCCGCACCGGCGCGCGCACCCGCACGCATGAGTGTGGGTAGCTGGAAAAAAGACAAGTTTGGACGGAGCAGTTGATTTTGGTATATACACTTGAAAAACTTGCCCAGGCTTGTTTGCAGCTGCATCGGCGACTCGGATGCCTTAGTCCGACGTGCAGCGCTGGATGCAGGCAAAGCCATCGGCTCGATTTCAAGTTTCAGTTTCTGAGGGCAGCAGGGAAACCAGAATGGGCATTCCTGGTTATGTGTGAGGACCCAGATGGACACCTGCCTTCCAGCTTTACTTTCGATTTGTTTGAATTTTATTGGAGGGGGGAAAGTACTGTAGTTGTCGTTTGTTCTTCCTTGTCCTTGCCCCCGCAACACCTCATCGTGGGGCGGCGATGTGATGAGACTTCTTAGGATACCTTTCGGTTCTGGCGATGGGAGGGAGCGTGTGGCAGCTAGCGCGGCTCTCGCAACATCGTTCCATCGTTTAAATTAAAGGTAACACTATGCATGGCGCCGGGCAGGCGTGCGGCTTCTCATCCCAGCGCCTGTCAGCGAAGACGCCTCAGAAGAGGAGCTTTTCCCGAATTGGGGCCGTTTTGCAGCCACCCCGAAAAATTCAGGGAGCGCGGAGCTGTAACTTCATCAGATGAGGAAGCAAGCAGCGAGGGAGACGTGGCAAAGAGTTCCCGGCTTTCGTGGCTGGAGTCCGTGCCAGCGCATATCAGCGCATACTAGTTGTTCCCATGTGTCTGTGTGTGTCTTTCTGCACGCACGCATATATATATATATATCTGTGTGTGTGTGTGTGTTTGTGTCTGTGTGTGTGAGAGTGTGTGTGTGGGTTTGTCTGTGTGTTTGTTTGTGTGTGTGTTTGTTTGTTTGTTTGTTTGTTTGTTTGTTTGTTTGTTTGTGCGTGCGTGTGCGTGTGTGTGTGTGTTGTTCGAGCTCGTTCGAAGTGCTCCTTCCACTCACAACCGCAACAGCAGTATTCAGTATTCCTCTACGCACTCGCTGCACTCACCGCTGTGCGACGGCGAGTGAGGATGCCGTAGCATCGTAGGGCCGCATTCCACAGCGCCTCGCTTCGCTCTTGCCAGGAAGCCAGCGCGGCCGCAAAAGCTTTGACACAGGTCTGCTCTGTTTCGTTCTGCTCTGTGAGCCTATGCCAGCGGCTGCAAGGTGCAATGCTCCGAGCTGTGCTGCAGCTTCGTTGAGAAGGTGCGGGGTGCGGTCCTCCTTTCGCAAGCAACCCCGGTCGGTGTGGGCGAAGGCGATTCAAAAGCGAGTTAGCAACTGCTCGTATCTGTGGCCAGCACAAGAGCAAAGTCGGAGCTCGCATGAAGGTGTTGCACCTGCTTCGAAGAGACGAGGACTTGCTGTGTTTTGCAGTTTTTATAGTGGAGTCTGGCACAGCTTGCCGTTCAAGAGCCTTGCTTTTGCCATGGCGATCTACCAAACCCAGAAGCCAGATCGATGGAAGCCTACTGTAACCCCTCGACACTGTGTTAAACCAGCCGAACGGCAGACTTCGAGGACTGGGGCGTGCGCCGAGTGGCGATGGCCTCGCTGGCTGCGGCTGCGCCCCGCGGCTGCGAGGGAGCGCTGGTGGCGCTACAGGCCCCCGGCCCCCCCGGCAATGTCTGCCTTCTAACGGTGCTGCAAAGAAATCCGGACAGCTGGGACGGGCGTGGGTTCCTACGTCCTACGGCCCTGGAGTTCTTTGGTTGCTGTGTCGATGGACATCGATGTAAGCGGTAACTGGGGCTGGCCCAGGTCATGCCTGCATTCTGCATGTCAGCAACTCGAATGTACAGCACACGATTCTGAGTTGGCTGACTAGGGTGTCTCCAAACTGACCCCAGCTATGTATTATATACATACATACATACATGCCATGCCATGCCATGCCATGCCATGCCATTGCATTGCATTGCGCATCACATTGCATTGCATTGCATTGCATTACATTACAATACATTACAATACATTACAATACATTACAATACAATACATTACATATATGTAGATGCAGCTGAGCCCATCGCGACTACTTGATTGACACCATGCAGGATCTTGACTGAGATGTTTGACATAGGCCGTGGTTTTGCTGCTTCAATGGCAATCTGAGACTATTCACGTCGCTGCCTGCAGCCTTTCCTCACCGACACCGACGACGACGTGCGTGCGGCAGCAGCTGCTGCAGCTGGACGCTTGGCGCCTCTGGGTGATGAGGCTCGTGAGGAAGTCCGAGTCTTGAGCTTTTGGGCTTGGCAAGCGGCGTAGTCCCGCGACCTGGGACATGCCAGGCTTGGATTACTCCTTTGCTGAAACTTCTCGAGGACGATGACGAGGCTTGATCGCTGCTCACAGGTACCTGACGAGGTGGCTTTTGAAATCCCCGTCAATCCCTGCGGAGTTTATGCTGGGTCTCGGTCATTGTGTCCCGCACTAGTAGACTAAAGGCTTCCAAGGCTTCAAAACTTTCAACGGGCTGAATACAACGCATACATAAGTCGAGGTAAGCAAGCTTGTTAAAATTCCGTTCTTTTGGCGGATGTCGGTGTGGGTCGTGTTCTTTTGCTTCTGTGTCATGCTTGCGTTGGTTTTAGTGTGTGTTGTTGCCGTGATTGGCGTCAATGCTGCCACACTGGTCTGATAAGGAAGTTTTCGTCCTAGCACTGGTGTCCGCAATGACGAAGGTTGTTATGAGGATCAAGTTTGCTGGCAGTGTTCTTGCCTGTGATGTGTTTTTGCCAGCAGTCATCGATGTGATAGCGAAATGAGTTATAGCCGGAAGCCCCGAGATTCCCAGGCCGTCCGACAGGCTGCACTACTGGCAGTGGCGCGTACAGCGCCCAAAGGCCACCGGGGTGCCTTGGAGGCTGGGACCAAACGCCATGCGATACGGTTCGGGATCAGCATCAAACTGATGTCCCTCTGTGTGGCTCCTGGTTATAATGACCACGAAAAGATCGAGGTGCCTCTACGGCCACAAAGATCCGAGGAGAGTCTGCACGTCTCACGTGTCAGCGACACACTGTAGTAGATGCTAGAGATGCCTATAGACGAAAACTTGTTTTTCCCCACATCATCGTGGGCATTTTGTTTTCCTTGTCGCGCTCCCGCCCCGTCCTGCTCCGCCCGTGCCCCGCCACTCACACAACACAGCACGCAAACAGACACGTGCACATGACACAGACGAACACGACGCAACACGCACACAAGCACAGACACAACCCACACACACACACACACACACGCAACACACACGCACGCATAGAAGTCTGTATGGGAGGCGGCGCGCGTTTAGGGACGTCGAGGCTCTATGCACGTTTGGGGAGGTTGGAAGCCCAGGGTGTCACAATTCCGCCGTTGTACGGATGTTCACAGATTGCCAATGCGCCTTGAGGCTGCCCTCTCGGGCCCAAGCATGAGACCTTCTCCAAGCTGAAGAGACACCAATACACACGAAACGATGCCCTTCGCCGCCGTAAAGGCATAGCCGAAAAGGGAAGGTGCATTAGATTTCCAGAAGAGAGATAGCCGATGAGAACAAAAGAGGACACAACACAGGAGACACTGAGCGGTTGTTGCTGCGTGGTTTGGGCGCATGGTCAAACTTTTGAGATTTTGCCGAAGCTGGACCCTCATAGTGATGCGTACCGATGAAGACCTGAAAATGCCGTCGGCAGCCTTCAAGAGCAAAGCCCGAGTTTCTGAGAGCTCGGGTGTCTCTATGTGCCCAGTCAGCATCGTCCAGCATTTCCAAAGAGGTGGAGCGATTTTCTTGGATGTGCCTGCATTTGGAGATTCCACAAGCAAAGGCCTGCACCAGTTGTGAGCTTATAGGTTTGCAGTGACTCCGGAAGGCGGTGGGAGATCTAATGGACGACGATGACGCCATGCACTGAGAAGTTTTATTCCTGCAGCTGGCAGATAGAGGCTTCCTCACATCTCAGACCAGCCAGCAAGTCCTGAAGGCTTTGGTATCAGCTGTCTGTTCCCTGCACCTAGGACAAAGTCAGGCGCCTTGCGGCAACAACGCTACGCGCCTTACGCAGATGAAAAAGTTTGAGCATGAAAGCGTGACCAGTCCATTGCCCCCCCCTTTGCGTATCAACGATCCAAGACGTCACCGGGACCTGCGCACAGGAGCTTTACGGATTCTCCAATATCAATACGGGTGAATGGACAGATGGACTGGCGTGCTTCCTAGACCTTACCACCGCCACATGGCATGTTGTCCACTGAGTGCTTAGCGTGCACCAAGTTTTGGACAGGAAAACGGCACAGCCGCAACTTGAGGTGGCACTTCTGGTGCGAGAGGCCGTAAGCGACACTTCGGACAGCAAGAAATGGGTCGGAACCTCGGACTCAGATCCGATGGATGTCCTGGCATGCTTTGCATGCATTGCCAGCTTGCGAGGTGGTCTTTGACGGGCCTGTGGATGCCATCTGGATCGAGAACATGAACACGGCAGCTGCCTCACAGCGGTCCCTGGACGGTGAGGATCCTGAATCCTGAACGCTTTCCAGGTGCTGGATGACAACAAAATGCTCTGCCTCGCGAATGGCGAGCGCATCAAGCCCGGCACTCGGACGCTGTGGCCAGCTGCAGCGGCTTTTCTTCGTCTGCTATGCTAAACACCGCTCCACTGTAAGCGCACTCTCCTTCTCGAGGCTCCCACCGACCATGACCATGCTCTTCGAGGTGGCCGACCTGAAGGCCCTCCTTGAGCCGCTTCCTACGGCCGGTTGTGGAAACTGAAGCCTGGGCTTCTTTAGGTGGCCTCGCCAGCCACGGTGAGTCGCTGTGGCATGGCCCGGTACCCAGAACCCTGTCAGCTGCATGATGATTTCATGCGAGTGGGTCCCCAAACCGTTGCGGGAGGCTCTTCAGGCTGACTTCCCTTTGGTCACACGCATCAGCACGGAACGGCGCCGCACGTCTCCGCGAAAAATGGGAAGGCTTTCCCCACAGCTCGAAAGGCGTTCAAGCCACGGGCCGCGGCGGTGCGGTCGCGGTCGCGCAAAGAACTGTGGGGCGGTCGTCCGCCTCAACTTGGGCTCAAGGTATTTGAGGGTTTCAGCGGACGCGAAAGGAAAGCTCAGACTTGCTGGCCACGGAAGCAGAGGTCTTCGGAATTGGTGCAGGCTAGAAGCTGGACATCCGAAGCTCACATCGTCATCTTCGTCGAGCAGATGATACCAAGAACACGAGCTTAGCTATCCATCTGTCTGTCTGTCTGTCTGTCTGTCTGTCTGTCTAGACAAGATCAGAAGCATAAATCAGCTCGGCGAATGTTCCACTACAGTTGGTGCAGAAGGAAAGCACGTTCACTCGAACGTCGGCTGTGAAGGCCGTTTCCCACTTAGGTGTACCTTGAGCCGGTCCACTTGGGCTGGAAGCCCCTCGTTCAGAGCCTCGGCAGAGCTGGGCCGCTGCAACACACGGCCCTTTGTTTCTCGCCTGATGGCCCACTTGCCTAGCGACGCTCAGGAGCTGGGCAGAGAATTTTAAGAGAAAGCCAGGGACCAAGCGGGCACTGGCGGGCACGTGGGAGTTCAAAAAAAGGGCCTCGCGGAGAGACCGAGAACACTTCAGGTATCCCAGCCACAGCGACACTTTGAAGAAGTGGGTCATTGATCTCTGCGACAAGGCGCTGCCGTTCCTGCGCGAGGCGAGGATCGACTGTGCTTCCACACGGCTGAATTCCCCCCGCAGCCCTGCAGGAATGCAAGGAGGCTCCCGGCATCCCTTCGGTGGACACGAATCTCGCCCCTCGAATCTGAAAGGCTTTCGGACACAGTTGGAAGTTGCTAAATTTTCGGGCGAGAGTCGCTGGAGCATGTCGCATTTCGGGGCACTTTCGCGCGTCCCCAGCCGCATGGCTATGTGTCTTGGCTCTTGGTATTCGGGAGATAGACGGGTGCAGCATTGCAGAGTTGTTGATTGCCGAGATCTCCTGCAATTTTCCCAGCTAGGGGGAGCCTTCCGTCAGCTCAAGCTTTCTGAGGAGTTGAAGCACGCAACCGCTGGACGTTTGCAGATGCAACTGGAGGTTTATAGCTGTGGATAATACGACATACCGTAGCTTATGAAATGCCGTCCGGAGTTGTAGTTAGCTTGCAGATGCAATGTCTGCCAGACGTCTCAGGTGGCGTCCTTCCTGAAGATGCTCACGACGTTCATTTCTCCTCAGCATGGCTTCAAGCTGGAGGACATGACAGCCCACGTGTACCGTGTACTTTGAGAATCCCCCAGCTTCGAAGGAGGGCCGGGAGGGAAAGGCGACGCAAGCGGAGAACAAACACGAGAAGGTCGGGGCACAAGACTGAACCGAGAGCGGGCAAATTGAAGCATTCGATTGCAGGCAAGAGGGTACGAGGAAGACCGCATATCAGACAAAACCTACCAATGACATACCTCCGGCTTTGGATTTGTGGAAGAGCGCATTTTGGAGGTCCTTGCCCGCATCTACTGTGCATTCTCGGCCGTCTGGTCCCTGGGGGCGAACTTGCACGAGGCGGGCGCGGCCAAGTTCCGTGAGAGCTTGTCTTCATGGGGCCCAAGCTCAGGCCTCCCGCAAGAAGTTCCAGGCAGGTCCTCTCAGGATACAGCCTCCTTTCCTCCTTTGCCTTTCTGCCAACGAAGGCTTTTCTGCGCTCCCAGGATCTTTCCAAGATGGTAGTTTCAACAGACGCCTCAGCGGCGGGACAGGATTTCTTGCGGGCGCCCTTGCAGATGTTTTGCCCCGAAGTCGGGGACCAGGACAGAAAGCAAGCGAGTGCTGGCTGTCAGCATGTATCGTGGATCTGCGTGAAACACGCCAAAAGGGATGCGTTCTAAAGTCGCGTGTCTGTTGGTTTATTTGGATTGACTTATAAAGTGTCAAGGGTGCATCCATTAAGCTATTTTGCTCTTCGCCATGAGGCGGCACGCAACTAGAGCGGCTTATTACCGAAGGTGGCGCTAGGAAGACCGCTAGCTTCGCACTAGGCATGCTGAGAACCGCATGATGCCGCATGCTCAAGCTAAAGCTTTAGAAGCCATGAAAGCGCCATCGAGCGCACCCGTGACCCGGGAGGGTGGTGGGGTTGTTTCGTCTTGGGAGGGCCTTGAAATCCCCTTCTTCTTCGTAGTTGTTTTCATTTTGACTAAACAGCAGAGTTTTGAGAAGGGAGTAGAAGAAGGAGAAGGAAGAGGTGAAACAAACGGAAAGCACAGCTTTCGGAGCATCAGAGTAGCTGGGCAGCACTCCTCGGTTACGTCATTGTTGTTGTAGGTATATCTGTCTAGGATTGTCTAGGGTTTCAGGATGTCTCGGCAGTTGCGCCATTGGCCTCCTCATCCGGCGAGGTCATTTTTGTGCGGGTTGCGGGGTCCTGGGCATCCGGCGGTGCAAGATTTCCTCCATCCACCGACAGGATTCCCGTTAGCGGAACAGTTCCGGGTGGTCTGGTCAAACGACGTTTTGGGCATTTGTAACTAGATCCGCGCCAGCTCGGCGCTAGCCGCTAGCAAAATTAAACGCAACCTGCCCCAGAAGACCCTGGCCCACTTCAGCGCAAACCAAGATCCTGGAGCAGCAATCGGACAGGATCCGAAACAATGCATGTTTCGTGGTGCCATGCTGCTGCCCGTAGAACGGAAACGCCTACGTGATCAAGGCCGAGACGGCTACTACAGACAGTACGCAAAACAGCTCCACTTAGATTCAGACAGAGTAGTTTCTTCAAGTCGCCATGCAGCATGGTGGTTGCATTTGGAACAGGGGCGACCATAGGCACATGGAAGCGGGCCAAGTCTACAAAAGCTGAAAGACTGTGGTGCCGCCTGCCGTCCTTCGTCATGGCCAAACCTTGCAAACATGAAGCAGTAACGAGGCATGATGTGGAGTTGCAGCGTCGCGGAAAGCACAGCCTTGCATGCTGCATCTACGCAAGAAACTCATAAAGTCTGAGCTTGCAAGCCGTGACCGTGATTCTCGTGTCTGACTGGGCTTGCAAAGGGCTTAAGAGACTGTTGATAGCGTATGTTTGTGGCTTGCCTGCAGAAGGATGAAGCCGAAATTCTCATAAGGTCCGAGCTCCCGGGCAGTGATTTGTTCACCAAAAGACTTTGATCCTGATGACAGTTGGCTAAAGCTTCAAACCTTTCAGCAGTCGTTTCTCCAGACCATCTGAGTCAAGGAT